GCATCAATGGCATGCATTGTTTTTATATATAGTGGCCTTAGGGCATAAGTCATTGTCAGTGTTCACTGGCCAGCATGACTGACTCAAACCTCATGCCCTTTCACCACCGATATTAATTTTTATCTTTTCAAGAGAGAATTTGTTTGGGTTTGGGAATTAGGAAAAATCCAAGAATTAAGGTTAGTTTCATTAATGTCATGTTGTTTGTCTGCTTTTCACCACTTTTTAGTGCCTAGTGCTGTTCGCAGGAATTCTTGAAAATGACCCACATTTTGGACCAACCCATTTATTAGCCGCTTCACTCTTCCAACTCCATCCTAATTGCTTTAATAAATAATCTTAACTAATTACTAAACTTTTTAATTTACGGAGAGGCTCATACTCACGTTCCGAATGTGTACTCTGAGTGAAGTCGGCTACAAAGAATCATAATGTGGTAAACTTGCTTATATTATTTATAACGGATCGGTTCATATCAAAAAGACTAATACATAACTTCGATGGGTAGTCAAATTTGAGATGACAACTATCCATTAATTTAGCTGAAATAATTAACACTTAATACCAAATTTAACATTATGAAAAAATTAATTATAAATAATTTCAATCAAATTGAACATTTATATCTAACATGAAATTTAACATATCCCTAATTATGAATAAAAAATTAATTTATATTTATCCTATTTAGGAGAAAAAAAAAAACCATCATCATAGCATCGATGGATGGAACAATCCCATATAATCATGCTGATCTGTTTGGGTGGGGTTGGCAGTGGGAGAATTCCATTATTTAGACTTCATCAAGAATCAAACTTTTATTATTTATCGTCAAGAATATGATTAATTAATTAATTTCTGTAATTATAAAATGTATATATATACTTATTCAAATGTGGACAATGATTTTCGTATGATTGGTGTAAATTTACCATTATGTATGCAAAAAATGCACCACAATAAAATGTACCAATACACCACAAAATACAACATACCGCACCACACCTAATGATACATTTCCGAACACTTTGTACTGCATTTATGCTTACCTAATAGTGAGTGGCCGCACAAAAAGCATTGTTTGCACGGAAAATATATATATATATATATATATATATATATATATATATATATATATTTCTAATCTAATATACTATAAAGTTTACCAAGTATTCAATGATTAGGTATTTGTTACACAATTTTCATGATTATTTTTACCAACTCAATTAATATACTAAGGTGGGAAGGTACTATAATTTAATGAATTTTCAGTACAAAATAAGTATCACTCAATAGTTACAGAATTTGATGACAAACTCGATTTATATAATTAAAATTATATATTTGCTGACTTTTAAAATTCAATTAAAAAGTGAGCACATTGATGTAATATTATTATTCATGTTATACATACAAATTTAATATTAACACATTCAATAAAAAAAAAAATCAATTTGATCGTACAATTTTTTGTAATAGTTGTGACAAATTAATAATGAGTAGTGCATTTGACTTTGTTTATGCATGATGAGTGTGGCCGCAAGATTTGATGGCACTTGCAATACATTATTTGATTGATTTATATAGATCTTTTAATAGGGAATCCAATAATATTAATTAATTTTACCAATTTATAATGACAAATAAACTGAGTTAGCAATATACTCCGTAATTAAATAGATGAATGTCACACCTAACAATTGTTTGAAAATGTTGTCACCAGACAAGTCTTGGTGCATTAACAAAGTGCAACTATATTGTTGCCTAACTTCATCTAATTAATTAAGGAATAAGGTTCAAATTGGCCACTGAACGTAACATGAAAATGCAATTAGGCCACTGAACGAAAAAAAAGTGCAATTAGGCCATTGAACACTAAAAAAATGTGCAATTAGGCCACTGAACTCTCCAAACGTATGCAATTTTACCGGATAGCAGGTTACCATCAATTTTAGCAGGTTACCTGCTTATGTGGCAGCTTAGTTGGCATTTTTAATAATTTTTAATAATTAATTTTAATAATAAATTTTATAAAAAAATTGGAAAAAATTAAATAAAAAATAAAATAAAGTCGTTTTTATTTTTTTTAATTTTTTTAATAAAAAGTTATTATTAAGATTTATTAAAAATTAATTAAAATTTATTAAAAATGCCAACTCAGCTGCCACGTAAGCAGATAACCTGCTAAAATTGATGGTAACCTGCTATTAGGTGAAATTACACATTTTTAGAGTGTTCAGTGGCCTAATTGCACTTTTTTTTTCGTTCAGTGGCCTAATTACACTTTCAGGTTACGTTCAGTGGCCAATTTGAACCTTATTCCATTAATTAATAAGCAACACCATGCACATATGGCTCTTTTGAAAGCTTGAATCTCCTTTGAAATTTCAATCTATTTTGTTTTCTTTTTAATACTTATACTGTACACTATAATAGCAAAAATAAATTTCATTTCAACTTTCAAGTATAATCATATAGGTATAGGGAGAAATGATGTTGGCTAAGATTGTACATGTATTGATTTTTATTACATATGAAAGCTACTTATGCGATGATCAACGTGACACTTGAATTCAATTTAACATATTAAAAGTTTATAGGAATGTATCTTCAAAAAGTTTATAGGAATGTAATAGATTGCATTCCTATAGGTGCTAAATCGTGTAACTAGGCGTACTCAAATAGTCCCCTTCATTTTTCCAATTCATTCACCCGTTATTCGTTTTGAGCGTACAATATATCAATCTCTTTGTCTCACTACAAAGAATCCGAATCCATTTTGATCCGACCCAAATCGAGAGTGGACTCCACTAATATTTGTACCATAAAATAGCTGCTTAAAATGTCATTTCTTGCTATTTTATACTATTTTTTGATTTTTCCAATCTAACAATTTTGTTGTCCTTCATTTCGAACCCTACTTTGTTACCCTGAACCCTAAAGACTAAAACTTTCTGCCTTTCCACACTACATATCTATCGCTCCATCTTTGCACTTTTACTCTCTTAACTTTGCTCTTTGGCTCAATTTACACTCCTAATTTTTATCCCTTCTTACATAGATCCTAAAAATTAGCTTTACCCATGAGTTCCAATCATCGTATAAATCTAATTAACCATCCGATCGAACTTCAATTTCTTATATACCCAACACAAAACGTATGATGGTTTAGCTGTTTCAGCATGTCGAGCCTTGATGAACTCTTTTATTATCTGTTCAGTTATTTATGTTCCTCGTATTTTTAATGTTTTAGCTCATTCGTTAGCTCAGTCAGCCTTGTTACAGGCAAACTCTATGGTGTGGGAGGATCACCCCCCCTACCTTTCTTTCGGCTTTGATCAATTAATATATGCAGCAGTTTACTTAAAAAAAAAAAAAGAGAAAATTTTTGTTGCTTAGGTTTCAATGTTGAGTAAATTACATAATTTTTTTTTTCACGTAACTTGTGTTTAATTGGCACCTTTATAGCTTTTCTTGAAAAAATGTCACATAATTGAACCCCAGATGGAGAAAGTACGGTATGTTGAACATTATAGAGTCTATAGTAACCTTAGGTTTCAATCTTGAATAAATCATGCACTCACGAAAATAGTAAGATACTATGCCAAAACTATTTTATGTTATTTGTGTTAATATTTAAAATTTCAAAACTTTAAATAAATATTCCATACATACAAAATCAAGTATTGAAAATTCTTTTATGCAAATTTCCATTCAATTTTTTAAAATATTAATTAACTCTAGAATTTCAATAATGCTCGATTTTATTTTTAAATAATGATTATATGGTTAAAGTAGAAGGAGCTTAATTATTACTCCGTATTTAATATAATAACTTTACAAATTCGAGTCATGTGAATGTTGTTGGGAGAATTTCTTTTATCAGGCATTCAATAATAAATAAGATACTATGCCAAAATTATTTTATGTTATTTGTGTTAATATTTAAAATTTCAAAATTTTAAATAAATATTCCGTACATACAAAATCAAGTATTGAAAATTCTTTTCTGCAAATTTCCATTCATTTTTTTTTAAAAATATTAATTAACTCGAGAATTTCATTAACGCTCAATTTTATTTTTAAATAATGATTATGTGGTTAAAGTAGAAGGGACTTAATTATTACTCCGTATTTAATAACTTTACAAATTTGAGTCATGTGAATGCTGTTGGGAGAATTTCATTTATGAGGCATTCAATAATAAGTAAGATACTATGCCAAAACTATTTTATGTTATTTGTGTTAATATTTAAAATTTCAAAACTTTAAATAAATATTCTGTACATACAAAATCAAGTATTGAAAATTCTTTTTTTTTTTTGCAAATTTCCATTCAATTTTTTTTTTAGATATTAATTAACTCGAGAATTTCAATAACGCTCAATTTTAATTTTAAATAATGATTATGTGGTTAAAGTAGAAGGAGCTTAATTATTACTCCGTATTTAATAACTTTACAAATTCGAGTCATGTGAATGCTATTGGGAGAATTTCAGTTATGAGGTATTCAATAATAAGTTAATAATTCATTTTGAATTAGTCAAAGTTGAATATAATTATCAAATATGGGAAGGTTTTAACCAAAATACCAAAAAATAAAAGGTATAAAAAACTTTGTTAGGCTATGATTTCAATGCTTCATGAGACCATAGAAAACGTCATTAATTTATTAATAAAATGAGTCACAAATTTTATTCAACTTATTCTTCTATTAATAAAATTAGGAGTGAAAAATACATTTATTAATTTTTCTTTTAGGGAGTATTATAGTAATAATTTTTGTAGGTCATCCGGGCAGAAGGGCAGGTGACCAACCTTCCTACTTCCTCAAAGTACTACTCATCACAACAGAAACAGAAAGATATTTGAAATTCGGAAATATATTCGTTGACAAGGGCATTATGGTCCATTCACTCGACAACTGGATTCTTTCGTAAATTTCGCCACTTCAACGCCTCCGGCGTCTCCATTTAAACGCACCACTCTCTCTACAGTTTTTTTCCACCAATATTTGTCTTCTTTCCCCTCTCTCTCTCTTTCTCTCTCTATCTGTGATCTTGTGAACTTTGTTCTCTCAGGGAGAGATGGTGGATGAGTTTATGGTGTGCGTGGACAGGATCATCTTAGCGTCCTCAGCTGCTTATTGCTTCCGCGGAGGAGACTCTTCGCCGGTCAACGGGATGGAGAGCCTTTTGAGCAATGCTGGCTCGATCGCCGGTAAGCCGGAGGAAGTGGTGGTCAACGCTTCTTGTGAGGGCTTTTGCAGTGCTGGGTGCGGGGAGGGATGCTCAAAGGGGGGCGGTGTAGTGAGAGAGTGTAGAATTTGCCAAGAAGAGGATGATGAGAAAGACATGGAGGCTCCTTGTGCCTGTAATGGCACTCTCAAGGTCTTTCCTTTTTTTTTTTTTTTTTTTTTTTTTTTTTTTTTTAAATATATTTTTTATTTTTTAAATAACTGACTATTTCCTCCTTTTTAGCATGCTCGAGGGGTTTTCTTCGTAAACGTCTCCACTTTATTTGTTTATTTTTGAAAAGTGTTCAAACCCCGTTTCCATAATAGTTTCATTTTTTTTAATAAATATTTCCTTGTATTTTTCTTAATATTGGCTTGATTTGGTTCTTAACTGGAGAAAGTTGGTGTCTTTTTTTTTTTTTTTTTTTTTTTTTTTTTCTTTTTTGTAAATGTAAAGTTTGTTTATATTCTTGTAACTTCAAGATTATGTGGTTTTGAAAATTTTGATGCTCTTGGAAAGCTTTTTGCCTGCCATCCTTTTATTATTATTGGAGTGGGTGGAGTTGTTTGGTTTTGACTGTTTGACTGTCCACATATTTAATGAGGAAAGTGTCAGCAAACTTTAGGGGATATTGGTTTTCTTTCTTGGAAGATGAAACTTTTTCTATGCCCATAGTCAACAAACTTTTTTTGCCATACCCCCTTCTTTTTGTTAATAGTAAATCAGGATTACTCAACTACCCATTAAATGGAGTAAAGTGTTTGAATTTTGCTTTGTGTTTTGAATTTGAATTTTGCTTTGTGTTTTTTCTTTTTCTGCAGTTGTGGTCTTTTGAGATTTGTGGATGGAACTGACATAATCTGTTTGCTTATACTTGCAGTTTGCTCATAGGAAGTGCATTCAGAGATGGTGCAACAAAAAGGGTGATATCACTTGTGAAATCTGTAGTCAGGTCACAACTTTATGAATTGATTACTGGTATTGCAAGCTTCATTACTAAGCTAAATTTGAAGATTGATATGAGTTTTGTCTCTTTAAACAGGTTTTCTCACCAAACTACACTCTCCCACCAGCAAGAAGCAATCCTGATGTTTTGGCAATTGATATCAGGTACCTGCATTCTCATCTCTTTCTCATTCTGAATTATGCTTCTAGTGTTTCTTTGTGCAAGAAATGCTTACTTTTTAGGGTTTTAATAGTTGCAGTTTACTGCTATACTGATTGATACTGCTAAATAGCTCTGTTTTAAGCTGAATTTAGTAAGGGTGCAAGTAAATTTATCGAGACTTTGGCAGGGAGATTACCATTTCTGGTTATAGGCAATTGATCTTATTGCTTTACTTGATATATATTTCAGATGCTGAGTTATGAAATTGATCTCGTGTTATATATTTTTCATCTTTGGTCATAGAGCCATTATTGTGTTTGTTTAAGTTTTACAACTAAGTTTATGTGTCCATACACTATTTTGAGGGATCCATTAGGTGTTCTAACAGTTCCCGTCTTTTCCTCCATGTTCAGCCAAGCTTGGGGTCCGGCCATTGACCTTAGGGATCCTCGTTTTCTAGCCTTTGCTACTGCTGAGCATCAACTTCTTCAATCTGAATATGATGACTATGCCATTGCTAGTAGTAGCAGCCTGGCATGCTTCCGCTATGTTGCTATCATTGTAAGAACAAATAATGCAATACTAAAGTATTGTTTTGCTACATACAAAAAAAAAAAGAAAAAAAATTTGGTCTTTTGATGTGTATTATGATTTATGACGTTTGAAAGTAAGGATCTTGAATATGTGGCAGATGATGCTACTCCTGTCAGTACGCCAAATGTTGATGGTTGCAAGGGACTTTCAAATGCTTCGAGAATCATCATCGTTCTTCAATGTAAGTGCAAAATGATGGTTCGGGAACTACCAAACTATCCCTATCTGAGTCACGTTCTGGCTAGTTGTTTCACAATTTGATTTTCTAACCTGCAATGCACAATACTTTTGGTGAACATCAGTTCCAGATATCGCTTCTTCAACTGGCTGGTTTTCTCCTCCCCTGTTATGTGATGGCACGATCCTGGTACGTTGTACAATGCCGAAGGAGAAGACAGGTTAGTTATCTTTCTGAGACCACCTTGCTTGCTCGAGTTCTGTTCAACTCATGGCCTAATCTTTTAGCATACATTTCATCATATTCAGGGTTACTAAAGCTGGCGATTCCCATAAAATCCCTTCACCTTTCTAAAGGAGGCAAGATTGTTTGGTAATCGAATCCATTCCATGAGAGGAGTCTTTTGTACATCACTTTTTCCCATCTCATCACCCTCAAGTTTTATTTGATTTACATAAAGAAGATGAACTCGTTTATGCTGTAAATGCTTCTGCAGTAGCCTCTCGTGCACATACGAGCTGAGCTTTCTTCCTTCTTCCATAGGCTATATAGGGGCTATAGATGAACTCCAAATCAAATGTAAATGTGAGAAAACAGTTCATCATAGCTGTGTTCAACATCTTATGCAATTGAAGAATTTCTAGCTCTAACTTGTTTCATGCTTTTATTATGTCATGTTTACTGGCCTAAAACAAAAAGTGGTCAAATCTTATATTATATTGTTCATGACATGCTCAAAGAAACATTTAAAATAATTAAAAGATGAGCCATCTTCTTCTAGTGCCTTTCTGCTTTTTCCTTTCAGCTCTGTAGCTTTCATCCTTTGGGGATTGATAGTTGGGTGATCCATGAGGACTGTGATTGCTGATTCTATTTCTTTGGCATTCACTTTTTCTGGGAGTATTTCAAATTCTCCCATGAAGTAATATCTGTAATCCATCTTAACCTCAACTCCTATACCTATCTCCTCTACCAATTGGAATGCATTTGCTTGTTGCTCTGTGTATATTGGCCATGTTGCTATTGGCACCCCGGACCAGATACTCTCGAGAGTCGAATTCCATCCGCAGTGTGACACGAAACCACCCACAGCTGGGTGAGCTAGCACTGCAGCTTGGGGTGCCCATCCGATGACTTTTCCGATGCTTTTAGTTCTCTCTAAGAATCCTTCGGGCAAGGCCTCTTCTGGGTCGTTGTAGTCCGTGGAAAATATTGAACCGTGAGAGGGTGGGCGCCTCAAGGACCAGAGGAACCTGTGCCCGCTTTGCTCGAGGGCGTAAGCAATCTCCTTCACTTGAGGCTCGGGGAAACTCCCGCAGCTCCCGAAGCAAAGAAACACAACTGATGAATCTGGGTGGCCATCAAGCCATTTCAGGATTTCCTTCTCGGACGATTCTTGGATCTTGTTGCTTTTTAGGTTGAGTATTGGTCCGACAGGGTAGACGGGCGGGGCACTGGCGTCCTTGGAGAGAGATTCAAGGGCATGCGGCTCTAGCTCCAAGAACGTGTTCACCAAGATGCCTTTTGCCTTTCGCATTCGTTTGGCAATATCCAAGAAATAGGCTGAGCCGCCGGTTTTGTCCAGCGCAAATAATGGCAATAACTTGGGCGGGAATGGTTTGGAATAAGTAGAGAGGTTGAGATGAGGGTCGGAATCTTTAAACTCCGTCACGTCCACACCGTGGTCGTCTCTGAGGCTCTGGAGATGGAGGTGAAGGCCGAGCATAGCAGCACCGGAAGTGTAGTACACATAGGTGGGGAGCCCAAACTCGTCAGCCACATCCATCATGGCCATACAGATCGAATCCACAACAAACCCACCAAGCCGAACATCATTCTTCTTCATCTCATTCACGCAGTCTCTGACGTTAGGCTTGTGAGATTCGACGAAGAAACTGAAGAGGGTGAACCCGTTGGTGGGTTCCTTGGAAGCTGGTGCAGGGAGGTCCTCCTCTGGCAGTGATATGAACTTCAGCCTGGAGCAGTGGTTATGGGCAAGCAGAGATTGGACATAAGAATTAAGATGGGAATCTAGAGGCGATTTCATGAGGAAGACAGTAATGGAGAGTTGATGTCGTATTTGTAGGAGGCGCTTTGCCATTTCGACATCGGAAATAAGGTGACCCATTAAAGGGGCGGGAATCAGAATGAGATCCATAGCTTCTTCATTCATCATCGTCATCAATGGAGGTGAGAGAAGTCAAAATTATGCCGCAGTATTGCCACTATATAAGGTAGGACAACCTTGTCCTCTATCTATCTATTGAGCCATTTAAGTCACAGTAATTCAGGGACGAGAGAAACTCTATTACATATTTACATGCAGTATATCTTTTTTCAAAAAGGTTGAACCCAATCCCAATGGCCCCACATTTCGACCCGATAGAGTATTTGGGAGGATGTAAATTATGAGTTATCACAGAGGTTAGACCTTTGCTTACTGTACATGTAGTACATATTGAATATACTTTCTCTATTAATTGCCACCCGGTTTGATCCTGTCACATTTTTTCAAGAAAAATCACGAAGGTGTCCATTGAGCATAATGTACCTGATAAACACTTTTTAATTTCTACGTAAGTTTGAGCAATTTGTAATTTGATGGCATGAATTTATTATTCTAACTAGTATTTTCACCCGTGCGATGCACAGAATGGAGTTGTTGTAATATATTAAGAATATTTAAATCAATATATAATTATTTAAGAGTTAATTTCACCATAGGTCGCATATGTTTCCTGACAATTCTAAATTTAATCCCAGACTATAGTTATTAATTATTACGAGTTATTCTATGTTATAATTCTTACGTTAATATTTTTACTATTATTATTAACACTTAATTATATTAAGATATTATTTTTATCACTTATATTATAATTATTATTAGTTTCTTTTCAAGTTTTGTTAGTATATATAATGGCCGTAAGGCAAACAATAACAATATAATCATAATTAAATATTTTTGTATCGTATTTCGTGAGTCACAATAATTAAATATTCTTCAATTCTATATTCTTCTAGGATTTCTATTACCATCATTAATTATTCCCTAATTTAACAAAATTAAATAATTTGACCAATTATAAAGAGAGATTATTAAATAACGCATGGGACAATTTTTTAATTAAAAATTTTAAAAATTCATTAATAAAACATAAGGTTCTCATAATTTTTTCTTACAAATTATATAATAAAGCATTTTTTTTTTAGAAATTGGTGGGCCAAAACGGGATGAGAAACTGAAATCAATATATTTTATTGGGAACTGAGATTTTTTAGGAATTGGGCGGGAAATTAAAATTTCAGGATTTTGTTATTATATATAGTATAGATTAGATGTGCAAAGGGAATTGTATTACATTATTTTATAATTTTATAATAGAATTTTAACCCGGAATTATTATTGGGAACAAGGATTTTTTTAGGAATTGGGTGGGAAGCTAAAATTTCAGGATTTTGTTATTATATATATAGTATAGATAGTATAGATTAGATGTGCAAAGAGAATTGTATCACATTATTTTATAATTTTAGAATAGAATTTTTAACACATAATTATTGTACGAATGAGAAAGTAGAAATCAATATATTTTATTGGAAACAGAGATTTTTTAATTAGGCGTGAATTTAAAATTTCAGGATTTTGTTATTATATACAATATAGAATATAGATTAGATGTGCAAAGGGAATTATATTACATTATTTTATAATTTTAGAATAGAATTTTTAACCCAGAATTATTGTACGAATCGAAAAGTAGAAATCAATATATTTTATTGAGAACAGAGATTTTTTAGGAATTAGGCGGGAAGTTAAAATTTTAGGATTTTGTTATTATATATAGTACAGATATAGATTAGATGTGCAAAGGGAATTGTATTACATTATTTTATAATTTTAGAATAGAATTTTTAACCCAGAATTATTGTACGAATCGGAAAGTAGAAATCAATATATTTTATTGGGAACAGAGATTTTTTAGGAATTAGGCGAGAAGTTAAAATTTCAGGATTTTGTTATTATATATAGTATAGATTAGATGTGCAAAGGGAATGGAATTACATTATTTTATAATTTTAGAATAGAATTTTTAACCCAGAATTATTGTACGAATAGAAAAGTAGAAATCAATATATTTTATTAGGAAGAGAGTTTTTTAGGAATTGGGCGAAAAGTTAAAATTTCAGGATTTTGTTTTTATATATATAGTATAGATATAGTATAGATTGTATTACAATATTTTATAATATTAGAATAGAATTTTAACGCAGAATTATTGTAGGAATGGGAAAAGTAGAAATCAATATATTTTATTAGGAAGAGAGATTTTTTAGGAATTGGGCGGGAAGTTAAAATTTCAGGATTTTATTTGTATATATAGTATAGATAGATAGATAGATTTAGACTGGATAGTATAATTAAATTTATGTGGTGTAAATATTCTAAAAAGGACTTGTTAATTCAGTGACGATTTATTTAAAATGGTAACATATATTACTTGGGGAACTTGTCTTTTTTTATTGGGAAAATGGCACTTTTTCCCCCTATGTTATATACTTATAGCACTTTTTCCCCTTCAATTATTTAAGTGGCTCTTTTTCCCCCTAAAATGTTAAATGGACATATTTACCCTTAAAATAAATATTTCATTTATTTTTATTCTCCAATAAATTATTACTATAATTTGGTTCAAACCAGATACTATAGTAACCAAACCAAAATATTCCAATTACAATTTATAATCAAAACGCGATATTTAGAGTTTATTAAAATCGCGAACTGGAATGGCCGGTTCATGTTCCGAACTGAAAAAATAAAATACATTTATTGTTGAATTTAAACTATTTTAAAATAAAAAATAAAATTTTAAAATAAAGACGGTTCAAAATCACGAACGGGATCCGGAACCGCCGGTTCATGATCCAGTTTTTTTTTATTCTTAAATTTAATAAATTGAAATCCAAATATTGGGTTCTAGATCTGAATCATAACTGAAAACTTTTAATTCGATTGCTATAGTGTCTGGTTCAGTTCGAACCGAACCGTGGTAATCGCTACATATACGCAATAATTTGTTGGAGAAGTAAAATAAATAAAATGTTTACTTTAAGGGTAGAAATGTCAATTTAATATATTAGGGGGGAAAACCACCACTTTTAAAATAATTGAGGGGGCTAATGTGCTTACATAAATAATTGAGGGGGAAAAAGTACTATAAGTATATAACATAGGGGGAAAAAGTGCCATTTTCTCTTTTTTATTATAATTTTCTTTTTTCTCAATCAGTTGTGTTGGCGCGGTGGATTACACGATACCTCCAAAGAAGATTATGACGTCCGTGGACAACTGCACAAGTGACTTCTCTTGTATTATTTTATTGTTTATGTTTATATTAGTCACATGGAATCTTTCATATTCAACATTGTTGAATTTTGGTACTATTATTTTGTCTGCCGCATCTTCAGTGGTCAAACCTTAGCGTTGACTTTCATTCTCGAGTCATCGTTGTACGTTGTTGGTCAGGAGTGATTCCACGTAAGAAGTGAGCTTGGAATTGGAATCGTAAGGAAAGGTGATGGTGAGAAGAGTAACGGAGAGATGAGGAGCTTTGCCATATCAATGGCAGGTCGGATGTGACCCATTCCTGGGAATGGAACGAAAACCTACTCCACTGCGTCTTGCATCTTCGCTGCTAGCTACTGCGGAATTGAAGAGATTGAGAGAAATTAGTATAACTCTGATGTGTATGATTATTGATGAGGAGTGTAATGCTAAACCACGAAATTCTATTATTGTCATAGAGTAGGGGTGTAAATGAGCTGAGTCGCTTGCGAGCGGCTCGGTCAAGCTCGACTCGAACTCGGTCAATATCGAGTATGAGCGGTTCGTTTAGTATCCGAGCTCGAGTCGAGCCTAGATATTCTAGGCTCTTGGCTCGTTGAGCTGCTCGCGAGCCACATACTATATAATATATATAATACATAATATATAAAAATAACAATTAGAAATTAAAATTTTAAACTCAAAATATCCCTAAAAGATTTCTATTATTTATGTATGGATAAAACATAATAGTTTAAATTTTAAACCAAAAGTATTAAATATGTCAATTTCAATGTCAAAATCGAGCTCGAGTTCGAACTCGAACAATCGAGCTGCTCGAACCGAGCTCAAACAGCCCGAAAATTATCAAGCTCGAGCTCGAGCATCTGTTCTCGAGCTTGATCGAGCTCGAGCTCGAACTCGAACTGAGCCTCTATTAATGAGCTCAAGTTCGAGCTCGGCTCGACTCGTTTACACCCCTATCATAGAGTATTAACTTTATGACAATTAAATATTATTATTATTACTAGTATTTGTCCCGTGCATAAAATATGTTATAAAAATATTCCCTATATGAGGTTTATTCATATATAAAATTTTTGTTATTTAATAATTATTATGTGCGAATTCCTATGATAAAATTATGAACATAAATATATTTACAATTAAAATAATATTTAAGGTGAGTGATTACTACAAATCTTAAACTATATTAAAAATTTAGTACATAGTATTTAATTTTACAAATTTTTAAGAACTTAGTAAACTACTTTCAAAAAAAAAAAAAAGAACTTAGTAAACTACAATAGTAATTGAATTACAATTTTAGAGTCACCACGGATAAAAATTTTTAGACATTTGAAATTTCTAACTTTAGATGTAGCAACATACAATTGACATTTAAAGACCAAAATCACAATCTTAGTTCGAACATTGATTTTTTCTTCCAAATACTATCGAATTAAGTGTGTAATCAATAAAATATGATAACTAATAATTCGAGAATATAATCTTAATGTTACTAAGCCTACTTCACGTCAATTAAGTTGGAGAGTGTTGTTGGATAGTATCCGATGAATCCACGAATAATGCATCTTTGTCTCCGTAGTCCTCAATATGCACATCAACAATCTTAAATATTAGGCCGCCTAGCTATGCCATATATTAATTTCAAACTTATGAACTTTGGGGTTGCATGCAATAAAAAGTATATTTTAAATATACTAAGGGTACATTATATATGTATGTAAGGTACTTTCAATATAAAAATAATGTATTTTTAATATATTAAAAATGTATTTGATATTCATGATCCATACAATTATGTGGACCATGTTCACACAATAATTTATCAGTAGAAATTGAAATATAAATAAATATAATAATTAAATAAATAAATAAATAAATAAATAAATAAATAAATAAATAAATATATATATATATATATATATATATATATATATTAGAAAATGTCAGTGAAAATTATTATCATTATTATTATTGCAATTATTATTATTATTATTGTCATTGATATTATAATTAACAATATTATTATTGTCTTGTGAAAATTAAATGTTCACCATTTAATTTTCACAAGAACATATGGCTTTATTATATATAGGATAGGATAGGATAGGATTTGATAATCCACCAAACAATACACGCACAAACAACTCAAATCCACCTGAGACCAATTTAATTATTCGAGCACATAGCCATATAGAACTTCCCTTACAACAGTTACAAGAAATATAATTTTCTTTTGGGAGAATTGTCAAATAGGCCCATGTACTATTGTCAAGTGCTCAATTCTCACCATGAACTAAATTAAAGGCTAATTAACCACATTTACCTACTAAATTTATTCAATTAGCATTTTTAGCAGGTAATTGACTTTTTTTTACAGGTTACCAATTCAATTATTAAAAAAATAATTTCAAAATAATTTAAAAATTAAAAATAAAAAATAAAAAAAAATACAGCCACCGGCTGTCCTCGCCGGACAGCCGGTGGCTGCCATTTCGAAGACAGCTGTGGCTGTCCGGCGAGGACAGCCGGACAGCCACGACTGTCTAATATGAGGTCCAGATCTGGACCTCAAACGGCCTGGAACGTGAGCGGCGGCCACCATAGACGGCCATAGCCGTCTAAAAAAAAATTCGAGGACAGCCGGTGGCTGTATTTTTTAATTTTTTTAATTTTTAAATTATTTTGAAATTATTTTATTAATAATTGAATTGGTAACCTGTAAAAAAAAGTCAATTACCTGCTAAAAATGCTAATTGAACAAATTTAGTAGGTAAGTATGGTTAATTAGCCTTTAATTTAACTCATGGTGAAAATTGAGCACTTGACAATAGTACATAGGCCTATTTGACACTTCTCCCTTTTCTTTTTATCTATCAAGTCTCTTAATTTTTCATAACTCATGCCAAGTTCTAGAAGAAAGGAATGCAATGTATACTTTCACCATATAATAATTGGTTTCACAATTGTTATAAATCTTTATTTATGGACATTATTATGGCATTGATTACTTGATTTGTAACTGTTATAACAGTCATTTTGTATAGATTATATATATGATGTATAAGGATATAATAAGTGATGATGAATAAGATATTCCTCTTTTCTCTCTTTTCTCTCCATTATGTTTTTATTTTAACACGTTATCAGCCTGTGCTCTAGCCAACTGTGGTTTCGATCGACGACACGTCAATTCTTTTTCCGACACCGATGACCACCTTTTTCCGGCGATTTGTTCGGCTCAAAGGTTCCGCCTCATTGAGACGGTTATGGAAAGGGGTCGATTGCTTTCAGACTCGATCGAACGAGACTTGGATCATGTTCGCGACATCCTTGCAGACTTGAGTAGGCGTCCGTTTATCTCCATCGCGATCCGTCGGCTTCAGGCTGGCGATGAAGGTCCGGCAACATCCAACAACATCATCGCAATCATCAGTTCCCCGATTGCCATCAGTTTGCGATCTCTCAAATCGCGATCCAGGGTTCGGCTATTGAAGCTTCGTCCACGGCAGGTTGGTTTTTGCAAATGAAGATCGATGATGATCGTTCCCTCCACCCGCTTCAGGCCACCGGCGAACAGAGAGACCTGACAGAGAAAGGGATGGTGGTGATGCCGGTGGGCCTTGTGATGTTCCTCAATTTACAGTGGCAGGAAACAACCCGTCGTCAGCCTTAGTCGTGACACCACGTGAGCCCTCTGTTTTGGCCGTCATGGTTGACGGGAGATTACCCGTTCCTTGATTACCCTTCTCCCTAGGCTCGCTGTTGTCTTAATCGCCTAGAGACGACAGAGTCAGCATTCGGCGGTCGTAGACGGGAGTAGGCGAAGTGGCAGCTCGTAATAGGCTCGCCGTTCGCGTTCGTGTTTGGACTATGACATTGGAGGATGAAGCTAAGTATCTTATATCTTTAGTACTTCAGTTCTTCAATCATGAATGTGCATATTTCCATAAAAAGTATATTTGTAGATATGAATAGGGGCTTGAGTATATATATGCACCTATCAGTATGTGATCATTTGCTGCTACTTTCTCTTGAAGAGGATGCTAATTAAACAGGGATTTTAACTGGAACTTGAGTGTGTTGTATATATACCATCAATCTATGTGTTGAACCATGGATAAATTTTTTTAAT